TCTGTTGAATTATCACAGAACTCTGTCTCCTACCTTCCAATAGCCTGTTGCACAGCTCCATCAGCTAAGATCTCCTGGGCGTATTTGACACAAAGAGCAGCTTTCTCTTGGAACAGAGGCTCCAGGCCTTAGAGACACCTGGACTGAGGTTAAGAACAATTTATTTTTTAAAACATTTCGCATTATTGGGTGGAGTTTTTTTCAGTCTGATCCAGAACAAAAGAATGCTTTGGCAGATTTCCTAGTACAAGGTGTATATTACAGAGGTGCAGGCACAGAACTACATCCGCAGTCTGCTGGTACAGCTGGGCTGTCAGTGGTCATTTCTTTGGCCATAAAGAGAAGGATGAGCAAGCTGAGGTGTGAGGGCAGCGAGGCAGGCACATTCAGTCTTGTTCAGTGAAAAGCAACTGTGGTCCAGTTTGCTGACATGAAAATTATCTGAGGATGCTGCTGAGGCTGAAGGAAGAAAAGTGAATGCATAAGGCACAGATTCTGATATGCTGGCATAGGATGAAGAGGGAGGATTCTCTATCAGAAATAAGCCAAATAATACTGATAAGACAATAAGACTTTACCAGAGCCCCTTCAAGACATTTGTTTTAAAAGTAAAACAGAACAGCTGTCCTGGTTTTGGCTGGGATAGAGTTAATTTTCTTCCTAGTAGCTGGTACAGTGCTGTGTTTTGAATTTAGTAGGAGAATAATGTTGATTATACAATGATGTTTTGGTTGTTGCTAAGTAATGCTTACCCTAAGTGAAGAATTTTTCAGCTTCCCATGCTTTGCCAGCAAGCAGGTGCACAAGAAACTGGGAGGGAGCATAGCCAGGACAGCTGACCTGGACTGGCCAAAGGGATATTCCATACCATAGAACGTCATGCTCAGTAAATAAACTGGGGGAAGCTGGCCAGGAGCCACCGATGGCTGCTAAGGGACAGGCTGAGCATTGGTCAGCAGGTGGTGAGCAACTGTATTGTGCATGACTGTTCATTTGGGTTTTTTTATCTTGAGTTTTACTCCTTTCTTTCTTTTTGTTATCTCCACTTTCATTACAATTATTATTAGTTGTCTCATTTTTATATTTTATTTTATTTCAATTATTAAAGTGTTCTTATCTCAACCCACAGATTTTACCTTTTCCCGGTTCTCCTCCCTGTCCCACTGTGGGGTGCATGGGGCAGTGGGTCTGTGTGGTAGTTAGTTGTTGACTGGTGTTTGTTAAGCCATGTCAACATCCTTTTTGGCACCTAACATGGTGTACAGAGGGTTGAGATAGCGACAGATCTGACCAGAGCAAGTTAAAACAAATTCGTTATGAGCATTCAATTCATTGTATTGGTTTTACAGTTGCTGGTCACAACGTTGATTTGTCTGCTCTCAGTCATTGTGCTTGCTCTCAGGGTTGCATTTTGTAACACTTTACTTGCAGCGCGTGTTCCCTATCTTGGGTTTATCGCCTTTGAGGTCTGGACTCAGGTTATCGCTTAATTGTAGTTTGTAATACTGGCTTTGTGATATGATAGAATTACTGGTTGTAAAACTAATCTGGTGTGTGTACTTAGCACTGTTCACCTATGTTCTTCGGGAGCCACCTGTTGGGAACAATCAATTATGACAGCTTCTGTCTTTCCTCCTCAGGGAGACAACTTATGGGGGAGACATCCTCCCACACCTTCCCCCTTTCCCACCAGGCTAATTACAGTAGCGTTTGAGAATTTTGAAAATTTTGAATGTCCTTTGGATGTTGAAACCAGCATGGTCTTATTTCCAGGCATGCTGAATGTGGTCCAGGTCTTGTTTAAGATTAAACAACTATTTAAGAATACTACCAAGAGAACCCCCTGTGTTTGGATAGCTACAAGTGGCAGGGTGTGTGGGATAACATGTGACAAGTACACAAGACAGTGGGCACCTCCAGTGTTTTTGAACTTGATCTCTGAACAAATATTTGGGAAAAGTATGCTATCATCCTGTCAACTCCAGACAGGCACAAATCACTGTTAAGTGCTGTGCTGATCTCTCTTCAACATTATTCAGTACTCTCAAGGAGATGAGATGGTTTCTGTGTCTGATGGCAAAGTGTTAGGTTCTGCAGATACTCCAACCCCAGTGACAGGCACGGTAGTTGAACCAGAGAATCAACCCATGCAAGTATCAGTCACTCCTATAGAAAAGAAGAAATGGACACAAAAGTCAGCTTATATATTAAAGGAGGATGAAGGTACATCACATAGATGCACATACCCGAGTCAGGACACCGCAGAACATCAAAACAACCAACAGGTGGCTCAGGTGGATCTGGATTGGCAACATAAGAGTGAATTATTTATAGCACAGTGGGCCCATGACACCTCAGGTGATCAAGGAAGAGATAAACACATAGATGGGCGTGTGATAGAGGGGTAGGTTTGACCATGGATGCTATTGCACAGGTTATGAATGTGATGCAATTAAGCAAATCCAGTGGATAAAGACTCTCTAGTATTAAGGATAGTGGCTGAAATATAAATGTAAGGAAGCCTGGCAGATTGACCTTATCACACACCCACAAACACACAATGTGCTTACTGGAAACATATTCCAGACCCCACGCCACCACCCAGAACACTGTCCTGGGCCTTGAAAAACAAGTCTTGTGGTGACAAGGTACCCCAGAAACTACTCAGTCACACAGTGGGAGTCATTTCCAAAACAACCTTGTAGACTCCTGGGCCAAAAAGCATGGCATTGAGTGGATATATCACATTCCCTATTGTGCACCAGGCTGCAGGAAAATTGAAAAATGCAATGGACTGTTAAAGACTGCACTGAGGGCAATGGGTGGTGTGATCCTCAAACATTTAGCAAAAGCCACCTGGCTAATCAACACTAAGGAATCTGTCAGTAAGGCTGGTACTGCTCAATTAAAACTTTTATGTACTGTAGAATGGCCTAAAGTTTCTGTAGTGCACGTAAGAAATATGCTGGGGAAAACAGTCTGGGTTATCCCTGCCTCAAGCAAAGGCAAACCAATTTTGGGTGAAAATATCCAGTGAATTAAACTGATGTAATTGCTGTGTAACACTGTGTATTGTCACTTATATGTGGTGATATTCAGCGCCCATCTCCACCAGCTGTGGATTTGGGGATCTGGACTCAGCTCCCCTTTGATCACCACATTAATAAAGAATGAACTTTGATGAATCTGGACAAGCATAACAATGATGTAATCAGAACTGGCTTTACCATGCAACAGTCCAACAATACACACCATCTTTCTGGTCCTGAAGGATGGTTATGAAAAATGAATCTCAAGGTCATGGAAGAAATTAACTCAACTGACATTTTAGAGAGATGGTTGGTGGACTTGAGAAATTATATTTGTGTATATATCAAAAGACAGGAAAGGTGATGGGGTATTTGAAAGTATGAAAGCTAGGCATGGTGTAAATGGTATAGAATAAGGGGTGGATACTGTGCTAGTTTCAGATGAGATGGAGTTAATATTCTTCCTAGTAGCTGGTACAGTGCTGTGGGTTTTATCCAGAAGGATAATAACACTGATAACTTACTGATGTTTCACTTGTCCCTAAGTAGTGCTTACCCTAAATCAAGGACTTTTCAGTTTCCCATCCTCCACCTGTGAGTGCACAAGAAGTCGTGAGGGAGCATAGCCAGGAAGATGAAGATGACCTGAACTGGCCAAAGGGATATTCTGTACTGTAGAATGTCATGCCCAGTATATCAACTGGGGGGGAGCTGGCCAGGAGGGGCCAATTGCTGCTTGGGGTCAGGCTGGGCAGTGGTCAGTGGGTGCTGAGCAACTGTATTATGCATCACTGTTGTGGGGTTTTTTTCCTCTTGACTTATATTTCTCTCTCTCTCTGTTTGTTATGTTTTATTTCATTACAATTAGTAGTAGTACTAGATTTTACTTTACTTCAGTTATTAAAATGCTCTATCTAAACCTGCAGGTTTTACCTTCTTCCAGTTCTCCTCCCCATCCCACCACGGGGCAGGGAGTGAGCTTGGACATTAGGAGGAATTTCTCGCATAAACGTTCATTAGACATTGGAATGGACTGCCTCGGGAGCTGGTGGAGTAACTGTTCCTCGAAGTGTTTAATCAAAGACTGTACATGGCTCTTAGTGTTCGAGGTGATATGGAGCTGTTTGGTCATAGGTTGGACTGATCTCAGAGGTCTTTTCCAAACTAGTTGATCCTGTGTATATGATTCTGTGTGGAGCTTTATTTTCACTTGTGATTCTAGAGCAAATAAGGAGACGGAACATCTCCCGAGGAGCCCCCGAAACCCCAGCGGCCAGGAGAGGCCGGCGGCGGCACACCCGGCCGGACCCGCTGCCACCACCAAGATGGCGGCGCGGCGCGGCCGCCGCCCCGCCCCGCGGCTCCTGCCCTCCCTGGGCCGGCCGCGGCCGCCGGGGGCCGCTGCCGCTGTCGCCGTGTGATGAGAGCATCAGCCCTCACTGCCACGTCTCCCGGGCAGCCGGCGCTGTGCAGGGCCGCGCCAGGGTGCTGAGGCCGAGCCCGCTCGCCTCCTCTTCCCGTCCTCTCCCTTCCTTGCTCCTGCTCCTGCCCCTGCCCCGCCGCGGGGCAGCGGCGAGGTGGGTCTGCCCGGCGGGAGGAGGGGCGCTCCGCGGGGCTCCCACCGCCGCAGCCGCAGCCGCAGCCTCGTCCCTCCGGGGCGGTCCGGGGTCTGCGGGGGCTGGGGCTGGCCGCCGGGCCGCTGCCACCGTCGGGGACCCCGCTGCCGGCTGATGTCCGAGCCGCGCCGCCGCCCGCGCTTGGATGTGTGAGTACCGGCCCCGCCGCTCCCGCGGGGCAGCCCCGCTCCGGGACAGCCCCGGCGACACAGCCGGGCGGCGGGCTGGGACCGCCAGAGCCCCCGCAGGCTGCAGTGCCGCCCGCCCGAAACTTCGTGTGTGTTGTGTGTACGTGTGTGTGTGTGTGGTGGGGAGGCTTCTGCTGGCTTTGTTCCGTCCTGCTGGTAAGTTACGGCACTTGGTGCCGGGCTTCTCTTTTCAGACGTTTCCTGCTGTTCCAGGGTTAAAGCGGGAGGTCCGCTCACGCTGCGGGGAGCCGGGTGCTCCGTGGTAGGAGAGTGGGAGATTAAACGCGAGAAAGTTGGGCTGGGGTCGCAGGTAGGTGTGCTTTTAAAGCGCTGTCCCTACGTAATCAGTCCTGCAAAGGAGGGAGGCAAGGGCACTGTTCTATGGAAGATGAAGAGCTGAGGCAATCCACTGTAAGTCCAGGCAAATTCAACCTGCCATAAGGTACCATTTCCCGAATGCATGTGGATGCACATTTCTATCGCTGTTCTTTTTTTGTACCACTCGGAAAACAGTGTATCAATCATCCTCCGTTATGTAGGGTAGCACTTGGGCTGATGATTTTCGTTTCTACATGAGGCAATTCCTTTGCCACTCCATCGTCATTTTAACATGTGAACGTATAGCAGAAACAGAGGCAGCTTTGTTTGCAATCTATGATTGCTCTCATGCATGCTTTTTATTGTGAATAAGGGGCCCCTCGTGTCACTGGCATCTGTTACGACTGTAAGGGAAGAAATGAGATGTCTGCGTTACAAAGCGGTGAGTTATGAAGTTTTTGGAGACGAGGCATCCCTTCTGTAACAATCCCTTCTGTCTGTTAACTCAATGTGACCAGAAGAGGTTTTCTGGGAGAGGGTTATGGTAGTACAGGAATGGGACTGGAATGGCTCAGCTGCAGTTTTACAGGATACTGAAAGCAGAAGACTTCAGCCCTTTAACCCACAGTCTGCTCCTTTGCTCACCTCTTGGCATTCCTGTTGTTGGAGTGTTTCTAGTACTCATTTCTCCTTCCAGCTGCTCCTGTTGGAGTGCAGGCTGTTTTAGCCAAGGTGCCTGGCATTGCAGTCGAATGATGCTCTGCTGGTAAAATCTGGGCCCACAGATGCCAGAGTGGTAGCCAGGCAATGCTGACCACTCAGGAAGTTGGGCTGAAACTTCACCTGCTCCTTGTTGTCCCTTATCTGACTGGAAGTTCTTTCTTTAGGTGTAGGTGCAGATACTCCTCGTTTCTGTTCTTGAACATCTTTGACTTGGGTTTTTCAGTACAAACCAGTACATCAGGTAGGAATGGTGTCCACGTCTGATTTATTTGGAGGAACAGAGAAGCTCAGGTAATATCACTGACACTGTACCCAGTGTGATGTGTACTCCTGATTTCAAGACCATAAAACACCTCCATGCCTTCTGTACAGCTCATTGCTGTCTGTCTCTTTGCAGACATGATAACTTGCAAGCATTTGAGATCTGAATTTCAGAAGCTCTGGATATCTCCACATGTACTGACAGAGGTGTCTATATTGCCTCAACCTGAGCGTTCAAAAAATAATATAGAAAAGACAGGCCTTTTATTTTTATTTTTTTACTTTTTATTTTTTACAGTCTTTCTGGCTGTAAAATGGGGATAAAACATTTTGCTTCCTACTTTTGCAGGATGTGTTTCTACTCTGCTTGTAAGAAGATAAATTCTTTTAAAAACTTCTTGCAGTGTACAGGTTACCACCTTGCTGAATTATTTTCCTTACAGGGATGCAGTAGCTAAGTTATTCTCATCTTAGCAGCCTGCTTATATTAGCAATGTTTGTGCTGATGTAACATTGCCAGTATAGATAAACTTTCATGTATTACTCAAAACCAGGCCAAATCATTTTTTTTGTTTATGTGTTCTTCAGCCACTACTTTTTGTTCTGAAATTTTAGAGAAAGAATCAAATTGTATATAGCATTTGAAGGGGAAACCCCACACCTTTTTGCTGATTTTGAAACTGAGCAGTGTTGAACACAAATATTTCTCTGAAAGGGTCTGTAATGCAAACTGACCTGGGCAGCCCAAGCCTGGATATCATAAAACTAACACCTCTTTTCCTTCTGCAGGCATCAAATGTGAATGTTTGAAAATATAGCAAGAGCATATGGGCTAGAAATGTTTGTTAAGATGGCTTCCAATTTCCATGAGCATTCAATTCAGAAGCCAGTTGGGCCACTCATTACTACTCTATAAAGTTACAGCACCTAAAGATGGATATGATGGAAAGCAACAAGACAAAACTGATTCTGAGACCATCCTACTCCTCAGTCTCAGTGTTTTCCCTGTGCCTCAGAATCATGAAATCTTGGAATAAGTTTTCTTTGGGCAGTTACAATCATGTGATTCAGTTTTAGTTTACCAATTCTTGAGTTGGAGGGGATGGGTTCGTACTCTGGATTTAAAGAAAATACAGTTTGCCAATATACAAATGTATGTGCTCTTTAGCATTGGTGAAAATCAGTTAGAGATTTGGCTGAATTTGTTTGCTGTTGGAACATTTGGTCTTAAAAATATTTTCCATTTCTGACAATTTTTTTGTTTTTCCATTGTGAAAATTTATGTCCTAGCATCTTTATGGACTGAGAAATACAGAGGAAGGTTGAATTTGGCTTGCAGAATCTACTTAGTTGCTTGGGATCTTTAGTATTACTCAATCTGTCATAGTTAACTGTGCAGTATGATACTCTGTTATTTTCCTTCCTGAGGCCCAGTTTTTGTTCTCCTTGCACTACCACTCTGTTGGAGAACTAAAGCAGTCTGACGTTAATGCAGTGCTAGCTTATGCACAAGAAGCCATAAGGAAGATAAGATATTACAGCAGCTGACCTTCCTCTTCTTTCAGTGATCCCTTCCCTCTGCCATCTCCTTAACCTGCTCTCTGACTGCAGAGTTTGGCCTGTCCTGGCAATGGATGGTGCCATGAAGTTGGTTCTCTCCTTTATTCACCTAATGACTGTGGGGTCTTCTGTGTGAATCAGAACTTTAGTCCATTTATTTCTAACCACAGTTAGGCAAGTGGCATTGCTTCTAGCCAGTGGATTTTTAAAATGAGAGATGAATCTCCAGGAGCTGTGTGACTTGGGGAAATCTCTCATTAGGCATCATAAACTCCCCTGAGAGATTTCATGCCATTCTTTGTGGAGTGTGGTCATTGGAGAGTTATTTCCAACCTTTCTTTGAGTTTTTTTGGGTGTTGCAAGTGGAAAATGAGACTTCTGGTGGGAAGTGGGTATTGTGCAAGCTGGTCAGGAGAGCCCTGCTACTAATGGTGCAGCAGCACCCATATATGCCGAGGGTTTTGGAATGGTTGGTTTAAAGCAAAAATGTCAATAGGCATCTGTGGCCCATAAATACATATAAGGGAGAGAGTAGGCAGATTCAGACAGGTAAATTAGTCTTGGTATATAATGTATCCTATTGCATTTTCCCAATCTGATAGAATAGCTGATCTGTACATGGTCATACAAGGTTCTGAGTGCTGCCTACCAGAGTCATGGAAATTGAATCGAAGACTCTTGCTGTTTTGTGGGGAACTTGTATATTACCTGTACCTCTCATTAAAGAGGCAAGTAGGGGAGAGTTGATGCATTCTCAAATATGTTTTATATTTTAATGCAAATTTATGATTCATGCAAATTACAATTTATTTAGAATTCCCTGAAATAATTCTGCTTTTCCATGGTGTTAGGGATATGCAAACCCTTGTTGCACCGATACTTTCTGCTGTAAATCCCAGTGCAATGACTTGGAGTAAAGCTTAAGGAAGCACCTTTTAACTTTCTACTTCATGCCTTTCCACTTCATGCCTTCAAACTCATTGCTACATATGGCAGATGCCTGCCTTATTTTTAGCTATTTGAGGACAAAATAGAAAAAGTGACTCCCCATGATTTGTCATCATGGCTGATCTCCATTAAATTAAACATAGGGATTGGCAGAGAAACAAAAACAGCAGGAAAGCTGCTTCTGTTTGTTTTTAAAAAAGCTTTTCTAAAGTACTAAAATAATACTGTAAAAAGTATTCGCTGCTATGTACAGAGACCCCTGGGAGGAGAAATACTTGCTGAACAGTTTATCCTGTTCGGGATAAGGAAATTGAGATCTGACAAGATTGGTAAAACAAGTTCCCTGGAAGTCAGTTGAAGAGGAGAGATTAAAAAGCAAATGAGGTCCTAGCCTGTACTCAGGCCATTAGGCTGTGTGTATGTGTTCAAGGTTGGGAGGAGAATGCATATTTTGGTGGCTTACTTGACTGAAAATTTTAAGATGGGCTCTTAAAGCAAGAGCATCTTCTATCTTTTTCTATTTTCTTTCTTCATTCCCTTCAGGAGTGACCTGCTGTTGTGCATTTGCGCTGATAACTTGGAAAAAAAATTCAGTGGCCATACCTAAAATTCGCTTCCTTTCGCAGTTACTGTGCATGGCACAGTTTAATGGAGGGTGATCTGTGGCTGTGTTTTAGCAGAGCCATGACTGTGCTTAATGTTTACTGAAGAGCTTTGGTGCAAGATGTACTTAGGAGTGTGTGTTGATAAACTATTAAGGGCCAGCTTTGATAGCCTTGCCTGTGTTATGTCTGCTAAAACATTGCCCTTGTGATTTAGCATTACTTCCCAACCAATGTCCCCTTCTAAACAGAACTTCTGTTTCTATCAGTAATATGCACAAGGAATTGAAGCCTAAAACTTTTGTCTTGTTGCATACGCAGAGAACTGTGGGTCTGGCTCGGTAATTCCTGCCAGCTCTTTAGTTTGGGTCTCTCACTTTGGATGAGGCTAGACTTGCTGTCCCTTTCCCCACACGACTTAAAAGCATGGGAACTGTAGGACCAAAATAAGCCATGACCCAGCTGGTCAGGCCTGCATTTCCCTTTGCTGCTGGAAAAGCTCAACTTTGCAATTCTGTCTTGTTCTCACATGAGAACAAGCCAGTGCTTTCTTTATTCCCAGATCCTGTATTTGGCTGTGAGTGTTACTGTATACATCAGAAGAAGCCAAAGAAAATGTTAATGTCTTGCTAACTGTAATGCTGTTGTCTTGGTGAGGAGTGTTATTGGCGACTTGTAGTTGCTGAGCCCTGAGAGGATCTTGTGTTGTGGGTTGGTTTTGTTTTTCTTCAGTTTCTTTTGGAATATAAATTCACTTGTGTTCATTCATGAAATTATCACAGTCATTCATTGAAGTCTTCCTAGGCTGTTTACTTTAACCTCCTGCAGCAGTTTGTTGCACAAGGTAATTATACGGATATAAGGTAATCTCATTTTATTACTCCAGAAATTGTGGCTTTGTTCTTGTACTCGCCAGAGGTTCATTAAGAGTGCTGAGTGTATCTTCTTTGCTCCAAGTCACAAAGACTTGAACTCACCGGTATTCTGAAGAGAGTTCTATTGCCTGCATACCTCTGGAAATTTCCTCCTTGCGCCTCCTAAAGTAAGGTCTTTGAGGGGATTTTAAGCAATGTATAGGATTTGGGTTGGAAATCCCTCTTCATTTTTAAAAATTGCTCTTTCAGTCTCTTGGATAATTTGCTTTGTCTAGAGTATTAAGAACTTAAATCTATCTCCTAACCTTAAAGAGCACATCTGCAAAATAAGCTGGCTGAGCTTACTGCTCTTTAATCTTCAGAGGCTTTTCCTGGAAAACTTTTCTTTCCTGCTCCCATTTTTGTATGGGTATTTGAAGTACTGCAGCAGCTACAAATGGCAGATGCTGCCTTCACCTTGTCTTTAGCTAGAACTCTTAGTTTCCCCACTTACCTGTCTTCTCAGCTCTAGCCTTCTTTGCTGAAGGTGCCTGAAATGAGTCATACACTGTATATACCATTTGTGAATTCTTCCTTTTTCTTGCTTCTTTCACCATTCAGTTTTGGTGTGTGTGTAGAGAGCTGGTAGATGGAGCCTCTTCAGCCAGAGTTGTGCTGCATCAGAAAAGCCTACACTGACCTGGACTTGATGGGTTGGTTTTGTTATTACAGAGGAGGTTCTTGATTCTTAGTCACTGAGTGAAAATTAGTCTTGCTGGTGCATCACCTGATGGTGATTCACCACTCACTCTTGTTCTGTTTGATGGAGTCTGAGCTGCACTTCATGGGTGTTTCTGTCTCTCTCTCTACCAAATCTCCCTCTTTGCTGCGTATTTCATGAGGACTTGGAAAATGCGCTGACTTGGAGACCTCCTTCCTAACTTGTTTTGCCTCCCAGCTCTGGGCCAGATGGTGGGTGTGTGCCTTTGGAGCCAGCCTGAGTTGAAAGGTTGTGTTGACTTAGCACTGGGGCAGCTCTGCACAAGCCAAATATTTAGCTTTCCATCTGATAACCTGTTGGTTGTTTCCTCCCTTACAACAACCAAATGCTTATTTTATTCCCAGACCAAGTTAGGGCTTCCACAGAAGTTTTGCAGCTTCTTGGCTTTTGCTGTGGCAGATGTGAGGGTGCTGACAGGGGGGCCTCGTGACCAAGGCTTGGGTGCCATCATCGCTGTTCCCAGGCTCTCTTGGGATTGTTTTTTCTTTTTGGCATTATGTTGGGTGAATTGTTTACCAGCTTTGTGTCTCAGTTTTTCCAGCTGTCAAAATGGGTGAGAATTTTTTTTGTTGTATTGGAGAGTTTTAAATCATTATTAATTTTTAATTTAAATGAAAGGCTCACACTAAGAGGAAGTAAAAATAACCTGTAATAACTGGGACTGTCAGTGTTCAAAGTTCAAAAGAAAACTTGTCTATAAGGTAGTTTTGCAGATAATTTGCAAAGACGTTAGGATTGCTGGACAAATGCAAGTTTAGGGTTATGTTGACCATCTACAGCGACTTGAATGAGGACATTAGTAACCAAGAGACCTTTTTACATTGCTTGTTTCCGTTTCAGAGACAGACTGTGCTTTGTGTCAGTGCTCTAGGGCCATGTTGTGGGGGTGACCTGCTGCGGTTCCCCAGAAGGGAACACTGCACAGGTGGCAGGTGTGTTTCCATAAAGCACGGACACCCAGAATGGAAAGTCTTACTGGGAGCATGCGTGTAGCTGAGGAGGAGGCAGGCAGGGCTCCCTCACTCACCACAGAGGCGATGTGTTGCTTCACCCCCAGATGTCACATGCTGACCCGGCAGGAAAGGGCTGCTTTAATCGAGATGGAGAGTTGCAGTGAGAGACCTGTGGTCTTCTTGAGCCACATTGCTGCAAGTGAGGATGGTCACATTTCCCTTTCTGCTCTTGAGAGTATCTGGTTGTAGGTCTTGTGGAGCCAAGAAGAGCATCTTAAATGTTTTCCAGCCTCTGAGAGTTCTTGTGCCGTGGTGAAGTGAGCTTCCCGAGGGAACTGGAGGCTCAGAGTTTTCTTCAATTAAAAAACGTTAATGCCATCAAAATAACTGGCTGAGCATTGTAGTGTTTCCAGCAAAGAGATGGGGAAGAACCAGGCAGACTTTCCATTCTGATGAGTCACTGACTCTCTCCTGATTTGCCTCTTGAAAGAGCTGTTTGGGCAGCTGCTGATGCAGGAACATGATTCTGAGTGATGGTCCCTGGGGAGCAGGACAGGGCTGCGTGCTGCTTCACCTCTCATCTGAACTGGTGTATAATTCGTCTAGCTCTTTATCAGTAAAGCCTTGCACACAGCTGTGGTTCTTGCCTGCCTTGATCCTGCCTCATCAGGATAGCTGGGGAGCTGACGGGCAGGAGAGGGTGTTGGTGCAGAGAAACAAAATGACCAAGTGGTCCTTTGCTGTGGTTCTAAAAGGAAGAACTGGAAATCAGAGGGTCTGATGCTTTGTTTCTGCATCTTCTTATAACTGTGTCACAGATGAAAGAGCATGGTCTGCCCTAGGACCAAGAGCTGGGCAGGACCACTGTCTGCTGCTCTGTAGCTGGTCCCCAGATCCTGCTTGTCTGTTCTCATGATGCCCACATCTGCCTAAGTGATGAGATCTTGAAAGTGGGTAGTTTTGGTTCTGAGGATTTGAGGATGAAGGGACTACAAGAATGTGACTAATTTTTTGAGGGAAATTGTAGGTGAACTGGCAAGAACAATGTGGAGTCGTATTAATAGACTAAAGAGGCTTGTCAGGAAGAGCTTTTATCTTTCATTACTCATTTTTTCTGCATGACTCTATATAAAATAAGATCATTGATGGAGTGGGTACTGCAAACAGAGAAGGGAGCCTGTAGACTTCATTAATACTTAATATGACTCAGATGCACACAGGAATCTTTTATCTGTTGAAATAAAGGGTTATGGACACTTTTTTTCTTGTTCACATATTTTTCAAAGTAGAATCATGCCTTTGTTTTTTAATTGAAAGGTATAAAAAGGCTTTTCCCCATGCCTCTCTCCTCAAAAATGAAAGCTGTTGATTGGTTCAAGGCCAAAAAAAGCAGACTTAGAGTCGAACTGATCTGTAATCTCACTGCTTTGTTTAGCTTTATCTGTGGAGCTTCAGTTTTGTGTGGAGAGTTTTACAAAACAAAGGCAAACAAAAAAGGAATGGTTCTTAGGCAGATTTTGCTCTAACAGACGCCTACCTAATTTGATCTAACTCCAGTGAAGTAAAAGTTATTTAAAGCTTGGCTTGAGGAACTGCCCAGTCTATATGTTCATGGATCACTGTGAAAGGGCTTATTCAAGTGCACTTAAAATATGTGCACTGATGTTAAGGATGGCTGCGTTCCACAGGCAGTCTCTTTTACTGGTAGAAACCCTGCATTTTACTGGTTTGCAAAACCAGAGGGTGGAAGTGCAATTCCTTAGTGTCCAAGTGCCTGTATTGGAGGGTGTGTGAGGCATACTAATGGGATGATACTAATGAGACCTGTTAAATTATTTACGTTAATTATCGAATGTGGCATAAAATACCTTCCACTGTTAATAGCACTAATTAGACCACCAACATATTGCATCCATTATCATAAATATCCTGTAGGTTGAATTAGACTAGTTGTTTTAGCTTTCACAGTCCCTGTAGTAGTTAAATTTGGCTTAAAATGTCTTTCAGGTTTGTTCCTTTTTAGACGTTTTTCTCTTTTTTTTTCCTTCACTTTAGCTGCTTATCGCAAGTCTGGATGCCCTGAGTGAATTCAGCGTTGTTTGTTGCTGCCCCTGCTCATCTTGTGCATGCAGGAGAATTTTCTTCTGTTTATATTTAATTCCTGAAATAGAAATATTCCCAAATAAAACTCTAGAACATCCTAGAGAAAATTGTCTGAAAGCTTTAGTGTCTTGACTAGAAAAGTAAGGAAGGCTTCAATTCTCTGTTGTGTTGTCATTGGAATTATAATGAGAATTTTAAAGTCTGCCAAAATACGTTATTTTCCTCCAAACCCAAATTGTCCATTGTTTGCTTTTCTTTTATGCATTTTCACAGCTCCTTTTCCTTTCCTCTCGCCCCCCCCCCCCACTCCAGGATCTCCTTTGTTTTGGTGTGGTTTTGTTGTTTTGGTTTGGTTTTTTTTGGGTTTTGTTTTTTGGGTTTTTTTGCAAGTGATCTTTGTATGTATATGTAGAAAGCATTCATCTTTTGAAACGTCTTGGGTTTTTGTTGAAAATTTGAGAATTGGTGTCCTGGTTTCAACCACAACAATTGGTTATTGGAGTAGAGATGAAGGATGGCAAATTTTAATACAAAGGATAATTCTTTGAGGGAGTTTTTTAGAATAGTTCTCCTGCACACTGTGTTCATGGTGACAGTGGTGTGACTCATTGAGGAAACTTCCTGGTGTTTCTGCCAGCTGTGATTTCTCATGATTTTAAAGGAGGTGATAACTGAATTATAAATAGATGATAGCTTCCATCTGTAGATTTCAAAGCTAGATCTAGAGTTTCCCAGGAGGTGGGGCTGCTTTTTTGGACCTTGGGTTGGTTCTGGATATGATATTTTTCTGAAAGGGCAACTGATTAATCTCCAGACTCACAGACCAAAGTCCTTGTAGTGAGGTGCTCGTTCAGTGTCTTGTTTCTGTACATCACAGGTGCTTGGAGTGACTTGCAGATTTACACTCCAGTTCAGTCCCTCACTTGCTTGTATCTGCTAGCCATCAGAAACTTAGCTGACTGCCGAAATCCTTGCAGTGTCATGTGGGAGACCAATGGAATAGAAGCAAAACTGTATGGGAAGTGAGTGCCAGAGAATCCACCACTGTTAGTGATATTCGGAGTTTCCCAGCCTCTGTCGTACTAGTTCATTTTAAGGAACTGATAGATTTAAATGTGTTGTTAAAAATAAAGAAATATTTATAAGCCTACCGTTAAATTATTTTTCTTTGAAGGGCTGGGTCATGTGATCACCTATACATGCATTTCAAGTAGATGCATAACATGTGTGTTTTGCTGCACTACTGTGCTAACTAAAACCACTTTTAAAGGACCTCCTACTTTCATGTCAGTCGGGCTTTCTTAGCACAGAAGGAAGCTGAACCATCCAGCTCCCATGGAGACCAGCCTGTTTAGACCTCTGCCAGACCTGTTTTGAGGGCATCCAAATTACCTACCAGCATCAGAGGCTGTCAAGTAACGTGTTGGATGGTTAAAAAGACCTGTGAAGTTCTAATAGCTCCACCACAACATGGAGAGGGCTCTCCCCAGGCTTGCTTTGAAATGAAACACACAGTCGTGTCGTCTCCAGCACTGCGGATGCTCAGTGGTGCTTTCCAGCCAGCAGGAAGTGCTAGCAGTCACTGATGTCTGATTTAAGCATCCCCTTTTTAAAGATACACTGTCAGTGGTGTTCATTCTGCATGTGCAAATAGAGGCTGATCTGGTGCCACTGAAATGGCACAGTGTTTTAGGGTGGTGATGGCTGTCCCACAGAGCTCTGAGTGTATGAGAGTGACTTCATTTTGCATGAATTTGCTTGGCTGCAGCGTGAGCTAGGTGAACAGCAGTTTGCACCTTAGCTAATGTTTCTGCCTCCTTTGCAGACTTGGGAAGGCTTTTGGATCCTTGTCTGGGTCTCAGGGCACAGCCTGCCGGAGGCACTGGAAGCGGACTGGTTCCTGGTCATGCCCGGTGGAAGGAGGGGACCCAGCCGGCAACAGCTAAGCCGTTCAGCTTTGCCTTCTCTCCAGACGCTGGTTGGCGGGAGCTGCGGAAACGGTACTGGTTTGAGAAACAGGTGAGGACAAAGGTGGGATTGTTGAGACCCTTGTGGCTTGGACAGCGCTAAAAGCAAGGGACTTGATCCACTCTGAACTCCGTGCAGGAGTGTAGCTTTGTGGTGAAAGGGAGGAACTGGGAGATGGGAACTTTGAGCTTCCTGCTGTGGCATTAGGAGATGACTCATCCAAGAGGGAACGTGTCCTGAAGTTCTTCTCAGCTCTGCTATGGCACATGCTACCCTCTGTGGCCCCTCTCTTGACTTCATACAGTAAAATCAGCCCCATGGGGAGGATTGTGGAAGTGGTCTCAGCCCCCCTTCAGTGCTTTCTGTGGTCACAACAGCCAGGGGTGGAAATTGCACAGTGCTCCGTTTGTCTTTCCTGAAGCAGTTCCCAGAGCATTGAGTCCTGGCAAATGATGAGTCCTTGTCTCTCTCACTTGCCTGCAGTGCCACAGGGAGTTAGTGTGACATGTCAGAGCACAGCTGTGACTCCTCCTCCCACATAATAGAAAGGCAGGGCAAGGGAATGCCTTTATTCTGTTTTGGACCTGCTAGCTGCAGATGCAACTGATTCTCACAGTTGGCAAAGATCATCTCCATTTTCTGGGGAAGTTGGGGGCTGAAACAGGAACACACAGTGACATTTAGATCTCCACGTTTGATATGAAAACTGAAAGGGCCCAGTGTTACTTCCTTCCATAGAAAAGCTGGCAAAGTAGAAAAGCTATTTGCTGCACACAGAGGCCCTGGTATAGGTTCATTCTTTCAAATCAGAGCGATCCAAGCCGTGTAGCTTTGGCCTGCACAGACTTCTCTGTCTGGGAGAGATGGACAGATGGCACAGTCTGAGGTTTTTGAGGAGCAAGTGACTGTAGAGACCATCGAGTTAGTGCCTAGGTCCTTGCTTATCCTGGTTTCAGACACTGCATAGTTATGTCGGAGCTTCCTCCATCAGTTCAGTCTGCCAGAACTTTTAGTTGCTCTAACCTTCTCTGAAACCTAGGAAAGAAGGAAGTGTGAGAACACTTGACAGGTCAGCCACTAGGAAGTGGCTGAACTACTTCATTCCATTTCTCATTACCCCTCTTTTAAAAAGAGGAACTGTTAGCAGAAAGACAATGGGCACTTTACAGTACTGGAGAAGGAGGCTGGGTGCTACTGTAATGTCCTGGTGATGGGTGGAAGGAGCCAACATTAAGTGCTTGGTGTGGCACAGGGTCCTCAATTAGTTTTGCTCTGTACCTCTGCTCCTCAGTCTCCCAAGTTTACTGAAGTATTGCTGGGTGTGTCACAGCACTTCTGGCAGCTCAGTCAGTTGTCCAGAGAAAAGGCTGGATAAGGGTTTTGTCTGAGCTAAGATGATGAAGCTCACCGCCAGTCTCATGCCAGAACCATGAATGCAAGACTGCTGTCACCTTTCCTCTGGTAATGCCCAGTCTCCAGTTTAAAAGCACACTTTGTCCTGGAAAATGTTGGAGATGATGTAGAATGTTTACCAAGTGAGTGATACCCATCTGTTTCAGGAATGGTAGTGCCATCAGCCTCTCTGCGCCTCCGATCACAGCGCTGATTACTCCAGAGCCTGTGCGTCACTGCCGGATCCCTGAACTGCCGTTGGATGGGAGCCTTCTCTTTGAATTCCTGTTCTTCATCTACCTACTGGTAGCCCTCTTCATTCAGTACATCAACATCTACAAGACTGTCTGGTGGTACCCATACAATCACCCTGCTTCCTGCACCTCACTGGTGAGTTCCCCAGCGAGTGCCATCACTCATGCTTTTTCATTACACAGCTACTTTTCATGCTGCTTCGGTCCAGGAATCACCAAGCATTAAACATTAAGGGAGTGGATGGGAGTTCACATGCACCCCCATCATCCAGGGCCATGTCATCCCCCATTTTACAGGGGAGAAAATACATGGCAGGTCAGAGAAAGGAATCAACAGGACTCCTTCAGGGGAAATTTGTTGCAGGTACTTGCATGGCCTGGCTAGCTCCTAGGGTTTGAAATGGAGCTGAGATTCCAGGAGCTGTCTCCTGTCATGGGTGCCCCTTCCCAGTGGAAACAACAGAGCCTGAAGAAGGAAGATATGCAAGTTTACATTAGGATCTCACAGGAGGTCAGCAGCAGAGCTGGGGAGGGGGTCAGATCCTCAGATCTGAAGCTACCAGTCTGCTCAGTTTCAGTCTTGCTGGCCCAATAAGCTGCACGACCTGGCAGTGACCTGTACCTGAGTCAGTGAGCGTTGTGTGAGTGAAGCCAGCCTCTGCAGCCTGTATTGTATCCTCAGTGCTGCTTGGAAGTGTGAGGTGGTTCCTCAGTTACCTGTACCGACAGGTGGTGCTGGTGTTCCAGCTCAGCTCTGCGATGTTGGACACACTTTGCTTAGTAGAAGTAAAAGCATTCTGTTTTGGGCTCCCTACCCAGAAGGATTTAATAGTCATTTGTTTGTTCCCATCATAACTCAAGCATTCTTTTTTACCCAAAATGTCCTTGAAATCCTAAACAGCAGTATTCAGAGTCTGCTAACTGTTCTAACCAGGATATATTTGATGGCTTCACTGAAAAATTATAAGAACTGTGTCTAACTTGATACAGCCAGAGTCAACATTAAACTTCTAGTACAGATCTGTGGCCTGTGAAGATGACATTTCTCACTTCATCAGGGAGCACTGGTTGCTACAGACCATTTCTGAGACCAAGAGGGAAAGTGAGCTGGTATGCTCACTCTGGACTCCATTTCTGCTGCCCTTGCTCTGGCTGCTCAGGGGCTTTTCCCTGGAGAACCTGTAACCTGTTCTCCACAGTAGGATTCTGGTCCTAGATGTCCCTTTGACCCTACAAATACCTTCCTGAAGGGTGGATTTTTTTTTTGTTTTCTGTGCAAATCTCTCCATGGGAAGGAACCTCCCTGTGGAAGAGATCTAGCTTCTTGGAGACATTCCTGTCTTACTAAGGTTTATCCTTTTTCCCTCATCCCTAATAGAGAGATTTGGGGAATGCTTACATGAGGTCCTAGAGTAATCTCCAGCAGACGGTTTTCTAGTCCCACCCCGTCTGGGTGGGTTTAGAGTCCTTTTGCTTGGTGAAGACCTTTTTTCTTTCCTCCTTCAGAATTTTCACCTCATTGACTACCACCTGGCGGCGTTCATCACAGTGATGCTGGCACGGAGGCTGGTGTGGGCCCTCATCTCTGAGGTAACATTCCAAATGTTCCCTCTCCTGCCTGCAGTACTTACTGCAGAACGTGACCATCCCTGGCCTGAGAAAGTTCTGCAAGTTGGAGGGTTTCTTCCCTCAGAAGAGTCTGGGGGTGAAGGACTAAGATTTTGGTGGTGCCCTGCCTTGGAGATTTTTCCTGGAGACCGTTCATGTCCTGCAGTATTGGGTAGCTCTGTTGCCTCTGCACCTAGGAGGAGATTAAATGGTCCCTTTTGCTTATTATCTTTGCAGGCACAATACTGCACCCCATAATCTTGTTAGAGAAGTGGCCAAGAGAATTGCAAGTCAGGTAGCAAAAAGGCAAATAGGGAGGTTAGCCAAGACTGGAATAATGAACAGGAGATTAGAGGGGGAAAGGTCAGGAGGAGGATGTCTTGAGTACACTGAAGTGAAACAGGAATGGTGGTAGAACTGCTTTTCCAGTCCTGGTTACTCAATAACTCAGACTCTGGTCACGTCACCACAGATTTTGAGATCTTCTCTGTGTTTGTGAGAGCAGAACCAGGCAAACCAGACGTTTGTAAAAGTCAGTTTGAGGAAAATGGAAGTTTTGACAACTGAAATGGTTAATACAACTCTAGGTTAAGCAACTAAGCAGTGTTGTAAAAAAGGTAAATAAAGGAACAGTTATGTCCTGTTGAAAAGATGAATGGAGAAGATGGGATCTCTGAAGTTCTCTTTTCATCTGATTCCTGCCATTTTTCATTTATGTTCACATCCTCCGTAAAACTTCCCATAGACTGAAATTTCTGCATTGAAACCATGCAAGTTCTTGCACATCCCATCTATTGGCTCTAACCCTTCAGAATCTTTTCATAGTTCAGTTTCCTTCTCCCCTCTGGAGACTGGAACAAGCTTTCTTGCTGTGATGCTTCCTCACTAGACTGCATCCTGTACATCCAATAAAGATGAGTCACGGAAATCTGGTTTTGGAATTGCAAAGGGACACCATCTTCTCTTCCCTTGGCTGAGAACTGTGACCTTCCAGAATGCTGAGACCCAAAGCAAAGAGCAGAGGGAAATGGGTTTCAGGCTATCCTGGACTATTATCAGAGGAATAAGGGACTTGAGCAAAAATATTTTTCTCCTTTGCAGCTCTGAATTTTTTTTTTAAAGGCCCTATTTTAGTCATGCCCCACAACTTGTGATTATTTGAATCTTTTGGATTCTGTCAATCATTAGTAAAATCAAAGGCATTTACCTTTGTAAGAGAATCATTTTCCTGCTTCTGGGAGGAAGAGGGCAGCTATCCCTCTTACAGTACCTCCTGGCGCTCCTCTTCCTGCTCCTCCTCCACAGGCAGCCCTTCTGCTTATCTTCTAGCACCAGTATTACAGGGCTGCTGAGCGTTTCTTCTCTATTTGCAGGCCTCTCAGGTGGGTGCGACATCAGTGGTTCACTACATGGTGCGCCTGGCGCTGCTCACCCTCTGTGGATGGGTGCTCTGCTGGACTTTGGTCAACCTCTTCCGCAGCCATTCTGTTCTCAACCTTCTCTTCCTGGGCTACCCGTGAGTGACACCACCTTGTGCCTTCTGGGCGGGGGGAACGCAGCTGTTTGGGGGTGTCACCAGCCACCATGGGAAGCAGAGCTCTTGGCTGTGCTCTGTCTCCTCAAATTAAAAGGGAGGCAGGAAGGGCTTGGGGGTGGTGTGAGAAGGTGGCACTGAGCTGGTGAAACAAATTGCCTCAGTTGCTATTTGTGTGAGGGGCCTTTACTGTGACTTGAAGACTGAGCCATTGCAATGGTTGGTTCCACAAATGGGATTTAAAGAAGCTTCTCTGCCCAGTTGTTGAAACTGCAACCTCTGGCCCTTTAGGGCGGAGAAGAGTTGGCCACTAGCTTCTGGAATGAGGGTTTTTATGTGGTTTCACTCTCCTAAGGGCCAGCATCTGTTGAGAAGGTGCCCCCCACTTCCTGTTGGGATGGCTGTCATTTCAGCCATTGTTTTTTCTGTCATGGCAGGTTTGGTGTCTACGTCCCTCTGTGCTGCTTCCACCAGGACAGCAGAGCACAGCCTCTACCTGCAGACTGTGGATACTTGGTACAGGACCAGGTGGCGGATGATGGGGCTTCAGCTGTCAGCAGCCTGGTCAAAGATTTCTTCTCACTTCTATGGGAATCCCTGAGAGAACAGTTCAATAATCCTACGTCTATCCCCACCCACAGCTGCCCCCTTTCCCCAGATCTCATCCGCAATGAGGTGGAGTGCCTAAAAGCAGACTTCAACCGCAGGATCAAGGAAGTTCTCTTCAACTCTCTCTTCAGTGCCTACTACGTGGCATTCCTGCCACTGTGTTTTGTGAAGGTAGCTGTTGTCTGGCTCTCCCTGTGCCCCTGCCCGCCGTCTCCTTCTGACTCTTGTGTGAACTGCTGCCAGGCCAGATTCCTGGTTAATTCCCCTTTTCTCTGTCTCCCCTTTGGCAGCCCGGATAGCGGAGCATGGCTGCATCCGGAGTGCACTAGTACTGCTCCTGGTTGGCAGATAGGTATTGCCATAAATGTGATGCACCTCTAGTCCCATCACCCCACTTACTAACTCCCCTTCTCCCACCCCCTGTCCTAGGCAGATGGATAGCTGTGTTCTTCCTAGAAAAGGGAACCTGTCGTTACCCGTCTCAGATCCGGCATCTTGCCTTTTGAGTGCATGGATCAGAGGCTTTGGTGGTCAGGCTGTTAGAGCCAACTAGGATGCTTAGCAAGCTAAATCCAAGAACCTCTTGTCAGTGTGGGGGTTGTATATTTTCATCTGTCATTTTTCTAACTTGAGCAAGCTCCTGTTGGTGCAGAAATGGGCAGGGCTCCATGTAGCAGTCTTGGTACAATTGGTGCTCCTGGGGCAGTTCTGTGACAAGCAAACTGCCTTTTTATCTGTTCCTGGAGGAGGAGATGCACCAGCTGCAGCATCATCCCCTGCCCTTTCTCCTTCAGGTCAAGGAGAAGGGAGTCTTTGAGTGTTTCCTAAGCTGTAACCCTCCGAAATCACCGGTCCAAAAGCGCATGCCTGTAACGTGTGGTGTGGGTCTACTGGATGCACACGCAGTATGTCCCTTGTCATTCCTTTGTCTGTCTTGTGACAGTGGTGCCAAGTTCTTGTCTGGTCTCTCTGCAGAGCACCCAGTACTACGACATGCGCTGGTCCTGTGAGCACCTCATCATGGTGTGGATCAATGCCTTTGTCATGCTCACCACTCAGCTGCTGCCTCCCAAGTACTGTGACCTGCTCCACAGGTCAGCTGCCCACCTTGGAAAGTGGCAGAAACTAGAACACGGTTCCTACAGCAATGCTCCACAGCACATGTGAGTGTGGGCATGGGGAGGGGTTGGCATGCCTAGCAAGGGGAGGAGAAGACGTTCTAGTGGAGGAGCAACCACCACCAGTGCATGTCTACTGAGAACACTTCTGCACTCCCCGTGCAACTCCACTGGCCTTGCTGTTCCATGGAAACAGAAACATCTGCTCTAGAGAGCTGTCTGAGCTGCTCCAGTCACTGCTGGCTCCTTCCCAAAAAGAAAGGCTGACATTCTTCTTGGCCATTAGAGAGTATCTTGCGCAGGGGCGTGGGATGGCCTCCTCCAATGCAGGGGATGAGGTTCTTGCACTGGGAGCCATTTGTTCTTGTTACTCAGAGTCCATTTCATGGGCTTGTGATCACCTCTCTCTGCTTTTCTAGTGGGAGCTAGGACATGTCCCTGTGGCAGAGGCTTTGGTATTTTTCAAGATGAAGTCCATTCCCTATCCAGGGAGTTGGGAGCAGAGATGCTAATGCTCTGGCATTCTCTCCCCACAGCTGGTCAGAAAACACAATATGGCCACAAGGAGTTCTGGTGCGACGGAGCCGATGCCTGTATAAAGCAGTTGGGCCTTACAACGTAGCAGTGCCTTCAGATGTGTCCCATGCCCGCTTTTACGCAAGTATCTCTTCTCTTGCTTGATGCCTTATGACTGTGGGAGGGAGGAGAGGCTCAAACATAGCTGCAGCAGAGCAGACCGTGCAGAACAGAGTTCAGTGCTGCGCAACAGCCTGTTGCTGCTAAACAAAATCCCTGTTAGCAGCAGAGGGGCTTTCCCCTTCCAGTATTACAGTGACCTCTGGGCAAGGTGGAAGCCACAGCTGCCTCGTCAGTGTTTTCTCATCAAGGTGACACAGCTCTCTCATCAGACAGTGGCATATTCCCAAGAGGGTTCCAGTTAACATTGTTCAGGGAAACAGGAAAGTACATCAGCAGGCCAATTGATTATCTCACCCGTCCTTCCCTTCTCAAGCAAAATACCACTTTCTACATGCCACCTCTTATTCTGTTCTCCTTAAGTAGCAGCTAGTGGTAGCTGGAGTACATTTCTTCTGCTCCACAGTGGTCAGTGGCGCCTGACAGCATTATATACATACCCCTCCTCCCTTTAACCCTGCAACAAATCACAGAAATCTGTCCTTTTTAACTGTTTCCCTGCAGTTCCTTTTCCACCGTCCATTACGGCTGCTCAACCTGCTGATCCTCATTGAAGGCAGTGTGGTTTGCTACCAGCTCTACTCCCTGCTGCGCTCAGAGAAGTGGAACCACACCCTCTCCATGGCCCTCATCCTTTTCTGCAATTATTATGTCTTATTTAAGCTCCTCCGGGACCGGATAGTATTAGGCAGGGCATACTCCTACCCACTTAACAATTATGGACTCAAGGCACACTAGGCCGGCCAAATGTGTACCCCCTTCTCTTTTTCTTCCCACAGGGCAGGGAGGGAACCTCAGAAAAAAAATATTTTCGTACAGTTCTATTTTTTTCTTGCGGCGTTTATAAATATTTAAAATATTTTATATTTTGTATACTATTGTTTTTGTGGGGCGGGAAGGGAACCAGTGGCAATTAAATGTCGCTTTATAAACAAGGTGTTATTTTATATATCTATAAAAGCAAAAAAAAAGTGGATGTGTATATACCGTATATCTATACCCATACATATATCTATGTGAAGCAACAGGATTGTGTGTGTGGTCACTGTGTCTGCTTCGCTCACAGAACTGCCCTGCCCCTGCATACTGTGGGGACAGAGCTGCTGTTAATTAGGAACAGCAGGTCTGCTCTAGAATTTGGATACGCTAACAGCCAGGGGGAAAAAAAGGAAACACAGGGGCCTTTCACCAAGATAAGTAAAGTTTATTTTGGTAACCTCACTACCAGGAAAGTCTTGCACTGAAAATGTGCACTGATGAGATATGTTTAGGCAAAGGCAGGAAGCAGTGTGTGAAAAGAGTGACTAAGTTACTGTCAGTCAGTAAAAACTCTCAGTTCTTTCTTCCCACTGTTAGCAGGATGCAAGTATTATTTTTAAAAAATAACAAACTATTTACTTTAGCCTCTCTCTTCCCAGCAACTTGAGCTCCCTCTCTATGCCAAGGGAATGAATTTAACATTCAAATTATAATTTTAGGGTAGTAAATAATTTCAGAATGGATTTGAAATAAATAGATTCATCTAGCAGGATGGTAGTTGAATATTTTAGACATCCATCTCTATTCTCTTCAGTAATAGCATTGAATTAGGGAATATTCAGCCATTTTCTTCAAGCAGTAATGTTCCTTGCAGAAATTTATTCTTGTCATTTACCACTTCCCTTATTCCTAAGCAGTACATTTCAGCAGTGTTTCACTCTAAGGTATGCTGGTAGTGTTTAATAACTTATCATTGTTAACAGAGGAAATACTTTGCTTTTAAACCGTTCTTCATAAAGCTAAACTGTACTAGAACCTAGTGAACAAACACTTTTGGCAGTATCACAGAGGAATTAAAGATCAAAGACAGTGTCAACCATATAATTAATTTAACTGTGGATGCTGTTGACAGCTGATGGTAGGAGTTGATGCTTTAACTCGGGTAATTAAGGAGACGGTAATGCAAGTTCTTCCATTCAGATGCCATCTGACAACTTGAGCCGTTAGTAAAGAGCTATCTCTGGTTAAACAGTGGATAGGTATGGGGAAAAAAACCCCCAGAACTCTAATGAGTTTGGGAGAAACTGCAACTACTTTCTGCTGCTTCTTTCCTTCCAAGCTACATAAGAACACAGTGATCTCTGCTCCTGTCTGTAGGGCAGCTGCTCCAGCAGCCTGACCACAAGCCCAGAATACCTGATAAGGTAGGCAGCAGGAGATGCCTCTGAGCATTAACCCCAGGCTAGCCTGAAATGAACACAAATGCTTAGGTTTAGTCACTCCTAGGCCTTTTCTTCTTTCATGTGGCCCTAGTGCTGCTGGAAGGACACAGGTACTCATGAATCTACAACCTGAAGCCTTTCAATAAAACACAATACTGTGGCTTAGAGCCATGCCATGCTTTATGTAGTAATCCATGTCTTAATTCTACCTTGATTACTTCACAAAGTACATTTGGGATAAAAGAAGGTTGGCATCTTATCTAGAGCAGACTCTTTGCTGCATGTGGCTTTGTGCAACACCTTTCTTGCATCCAGCCTCAACTTTTGCAGTAGCTCAGTAGCATTTCCTACAAATGTCAGCTGTTTCTAATAGGTGCCTCAGCACCCCTTAGAACAGTATTTTCACTGCATTAGCAAGTAGTTTCTTCCACCTGGACATCTAAATGATAGTAGGCTTATACTCAAGCAACCAGTGGAAGAAAAGAGACTCTCCAGGTCTTAGCTTGGGAAATAGAGATGTGCAAAGGAAAGCCAGAAACTTGAAACAGGGTTTTGGGTAAGTCAATGATAGTCCGTGTTCTGGCTTTTCCTTCCCTTCCATGCAAGGCTGAAGGCAGGCAGGACTCTCAGGCAGTGAGCACACCCACACCTCGCACTGGTGGCAGCATGAGGGACAAGCACAGCTACACTTCCGTACCTACGGGATTTCTGCTTTGCTCTGAGGGACTAAGTACGGGCCAAAACAAACACTGCCTGATTGCAGCTGTGTTAAGAGCCTCCTCATTCCAGGGGAGCTAGGCATTATTTGCTTGCCTTCCCCTTCATAAACAGAACCTTTGTTATATCCTGGAGCAGGAGAAGTTCCATTCTGGAAGGTTTAAGGCCTAGAGATTGTACCTTTCCATGTACAGTGGTATGAACTACCTGCATGCAGTCCTGTAGACGCAATTGTCTTGCATCTGTACACAGGAGCCCCGTGTGGGAAGAAATTGTAGAAGATAGTTGCAGCTTCCCCTGCAAAAACACAGCAAGGAACTAGCACAGTTGGTCTCCCCAGTATAAGCTGGGCCATCTGACAAGCAGGGAGCAGAAATTATGTCTGCTCGGCATCAGTGCCTGCTTTGATCAGTGGTTTGTCCCCATTCCTCAAATGGGCCTGCTCCTAAGCCTTTCAGATGAACATTGAAAACAAGTCCACTCTTAATACTTGGTCAGGTCAGACTAGGGGGAAAAAAAAGACTTAATCCCCAACTTGGTCACTCTATCATGCGAGGATGTCATAATAAATGGATGGTTTTTTGGTCTGGGAACGGAACTGCTCTAGCTTTAGGCCAATCCTCAGAAGAACAGCTTCATCCCACCATTTTGCCATGACCTGGGAGAAGATGAGAGAAACAGGGAGTGAAAGGAGGGGAAAAAACCCACAAAGTAGCATCATCACATACAGACACTCCTGAAAGCCCCAGAATACATAACAGAAAACATAATTTCCCTACCACTCCCCCAACAGCACAAAAAGGCACATTTTTCCCCTTTACCCTAGTAAGTATGACATCACTGCATTTGGAATAAAGGCAGCTGTGTGACTTCCAACTGCAAGACATGGATCTTTCCATTACATAAGACCCATTCAACAGGAAGAACTTAAAGGAAATGAGAAATAAGAGAGGAAAGAGTAGTGACAAATATTGGGGACCAATGCAAGTAGCCAGGGAAACAAATCTATCTCAAAGATACCTAAAGAGTCCCTCTGCCCTTCAGGAGTGAGTTACTCTGAGGCAAATCACCCACAAGTTAAAACTGCTATTTCTAGTCACTGGCAACTCCTCAAATGAGCTGTGTGGAACAGCAGGAACCTGGTTATAGTGGCTCGGGACAAATCCAGCTGGGGATTTTGTGACCCAGTTTTCAACAAAAAGCCAGTACTTGCCTGGAGGTTGATAGGAAGCCCAGCAGTAGAATATCCAATGGGGACCACAAGGCCTGGAATCCCAGTGAAGTTACCAAGCTGCATGAACCTGGGGGGAAAAGCTGTAATCAGCATTCTTGACTTGGGACAGCAGCAAATTCATCTTTTTTTGGGAGAGGCAGGTAGCATCAATCTCTCCTGCCTTATAGCTTGAGCTTCTTCAGTTAGTGCAGCTAGTTTCCAGCAGTTCCCAAACTTTTGTTTCTATACTGCAAGTAACACTGTTCTTACCTCATGGACCGCACTGTGAAGGACATATCGCTGCTCCCAGTCAAGAGGTCAGATTCATAAATTCTTGGGGCAGTGCAAGGAACAGCTGTGGAGGAATCACAAAATGACTGAAATGAAAAGGAACCTCAAGAAGTCATTCTGTCTAACCTTCTGACTCAAGAATGTTGAGTGCAGGTTGCCCAGGACCATGTCCAAATAGCTTTTGAATATTCCCAGGGATGAAGATTCCACAGGCTCTGGGCAACCTGATGCAGTGCTTAAAGAGCAAAGGAAGAGTCAGACAGTGGGCAATCTTCAAGGAACAGCTCATTCACTAAAGCCACATGTTTTGATATACCGTGGTGATGCAAACTCATGCAAGTTGCTGGGATTTACAAATAAAGCAGTTGACTTCTATTATAGCAAGAACACTGCATACATAAGTAGATATCCAGTCCCTCCTGTGCGTATCTGCTGGCTTTGTAGCTCCTGTCTCAAGCACTAAGGGGGAATTTGTCACTGCCATGGATACAGCCAGTAAATCTAGAAATATACAGCAGTCTTTCTAACCAGGCTGCATTATCCTCTAAAGGCTTGAGGCACAGCAAAATATTTGCACAGAAGTCATACTCTTAAAAATTGAGGTGGGAAAGTTAATGGAGTGACTGTTCTTAAAAGGCATCCCAGAGCTGTTGGGGACTGGCCAAAAATGGCAATACCTGGTGTAAGGATACAGTTCACAGTGCTGAAGATCTCTCGCAAAAATCCCATGCTCCGAGTTCTCTGCCGATTTGCCTGCAAGAAGAGAGAATACTGTCTGACCAGAACCTTTTGGTTCACGAGGCTCATGTTTGATGTTGACAGGCTGCCCATCAGAGCCTCTGCCTTTGCAAAAGAAGACACCATTCCTGCAACCTGGAATCACAATGCAGGACAGGTGGCATGTCCTCTGTGGTGCCCCACCATTCAGCATGCTTTCATAGCTGAGGGCAGTTAGAGCAGGGTGACATCTTCCCCAGTGTACGGGGAGGTTAAGAGAAGCCTCTACCCCACCTGTACAATTTCACTATGGGCCTCCCTTCAGCCCTCACTACACTATGTTCCTTACCGTAATATAATCCAGAGCTGTGAACTGGGAAGCCAAGGCCAGGTTAGCCCGAGTGTCCAAATTCTGAAATAAAAAGCACTTATCAAGGCTCTGTTTGCAAGAAACTGAATTGCAACAGCCCAGGAGTTCTCTTCCAGTTCTGTTCTCCTGTATTGGTAGTCATCCAACACGTAGTTGGTCACAGAAGGAGAGTCTCAGGTTTCTCACTGACATGACATCTGTGCTGCTACTTACCATTTCCTGGAAATGTTTATTGAAGTCAGGTTGCAGGAAGTCTCTCATCTCACTGAGAATGCAGATTACATGTGCTACTCGAGCTTCCTCCATCTCTGGAAGAGAGACTTCAACCACACTGGCTCCCAAACTCCGCAGGTGCTCCACCGCTGTGTACAGAACAGGTAAAGCACACACAGCATCCCTGAGGTCACCAGGCTGCACAGAAGGGCTGCAAATCTCCAACCCCTTGCCAAATTAGAGACCCCATAGGCCATTATGT